CCTCCATTTCTTATTCTGGCCGGGGGGGAGGGGGGGAGGGGGGGGGCGGCCCCCCCCCCATTATTCAGATCCTCGGATTGGCTATTACTTTAAGTACTTGGACGCTTGGGGCCAACACCGGGTAACGGCAAAAACAAATCAGCACCCTCCAACGAGACATCTCAATTGAACCTCCTCATGAAGCAGCTCTAACGGGGCCTGGGGTTACACAAGCAATATGCCCACTGTCAAACCCGAAAGCCCAAGTCCCTATCCCCTGGATGACCCAAGCGTGCCTCCGGTGTAATAGCAAGATATAGCATTCAAAGGCAGGGGCCGAGCTTCTTGCTGCCTTCTTTGTCCTGCTTGTCCTTGCTCTTGTCGCTGACCTCGCAGCCCCAAACCCTAAACCTTGGATCATTCCCCCTAGCTGGGTGATAGGATTTATGCTGAACAATCGGACGACCGATTTACGGGGTCCTGTGAGGGGGAATGACCCAACCCGAGGTGGGGTAGCTTTGCTAGAAGTTGCCCGGAAGGTCTTACGGATTGGGAACTGCAGTGTACTTCAAAGGCAGCAGCAGCAGCAGCAGCAGCATCAGCAGCAGCAGCAGTAGCAAGAAAGCCGTATTGGCTAGCAAAACTCCTTTAGGACTCTAGCTGGCCTCTGTCCTAAAACCTGGGCCGACTGAGCTGCATGTTCAGGAAATCTAAAGCAATCCTCAAGCCTGTGCCCTTCGGAGGTCAAAATGACCCATCTCAAAACGCAAGCGCCCAGAACCTTAGGGGGCTAAAGCATGTCAACATGACATTGATGCTACCATAAGTGGTGAAGGAATACACCCACCAGAACCTAGTAGGTGCCGGGGCTTCAACACCACGCTTGTGTTTACACTCCTGCAAAATGCGAGGTGTACCATGTGTACCAACCCTAGAAGCCCAGGTACCCATATAGTAGGTCCTTGGGTTATAGATAATATAAGCTTCTATAGGGACTAAAGGACAGGAACCCAATATATAGGTAACTGGGCTTCTAGGGCAAGCTAGCTAATAAATTCAGCCCACCTAAGTCGAAAGTATTGTCAGTATCCCCTCCTAGACCTCCTAAGGACCGTCTATAGAGCCTGAATACCTACAAATGGGATCTACGGGGGCTGTATTTAGCTTCTCAACCGCGGCAAAGTCGCATAAACGTCTGCAGAACCGTTGAGCAAGATGAACATTGAGTTGCTGACATCACCTCTCATGCTGCTGTTGGGAATTTCCCTTGATGTTGCACGATCCCTACATATATGTATATACATATATATATATAGATTCATATACACATGTAAAATACATAAGTATGCACACAACCTACGCTTTAGGCTGACCCCATTTCGAAACTAGGGGCACTTGAATGGCAGCAAAATCCGAAGTATGAACACTGCAGACAAGCGCAGTTTGCGAGATTCGCGGGATGAGCCCGTGACAAGCGTATGGCGAACATTGCATGAGAACTTCATCAGGAAAAGCAGCCCTGCTTCCTACCTGTCCCCAGTCAAGGCTTGCTTTATCAGACCCTTTTTCCAAGGCATAATCCAAGCAGATGTCCTAGGGTGTAGAGTTTGCACCAAAAAAGCCCTAGGCCCTAGAAAGTGAGAGGGAATCTGCCCCAAAGCTGTGAGATCTGCGAGGTATTAAGCTTAAGTTGAGCTTGCAAAAAAAGGGTGGTTGCATGGGAACATGCGGCTTCCTGGGCGTTAGTAGGGAATATGTTATACAGGGATTATGTTCCCTTTTGCCCTACTAAGCACCATTGAGTTATTCCACGATGACTACCTCACGTCTTTGCAAGCAATGTCTGTGCCCATTTGGGTGTTTCTGACATGATCCTCATGCAATGCCAAATCCCCTGTTTTCTGAAACCCCAGTTGTGTGCGTTTGCTGGTTGGTTGCGAATCAAGGTCGATGGGATTCAGTTGAAGCCACCTACACGGGGAACACCAAACTTCGCATAAGGCTTGCCCCTAAAGAGGCTGCCTTCGTTGACCACCAGATCGCCCGGCATGAAAATCCTGTCCACCGCTGCGTTGGCCAGCTCCATGACAAATTCCGGGTTGGTGTTGGCAAAAAAAGGCGAGTTCCTCTTGCAGTTTCTGGGATTTTTTCAGAGGTAGCCCTCGGGACCATAGCACAGTACAGGGTTACTCTCCGACAAGAAATATTTCAAAGAGTACCCTCATCTAACAGAGGCGGCGTGGGAGTTCTACTCTTCAGGGCAGGGATTATTTTTCGCAATGGAGGGGTGAGCTTCTGTGGACCCTACATGACTCTGATGCCTTTTCCATGTCCAGGCTTTGGTTGTGCAAAGAGATTCGGCGGGGAAGGGGAAGGGGAAGGGTTAGGGGTTAGGGTTTAGGGTTTAGGGTTTTAGGGATGTAGGGCGTAGGAATGCAAGCCGTAGAGCGATACAAGGGCTTGCCTTCCAAGGACAGAGAAGCTTGAGCTCTGGAGCTTGGAATTCAGAACGTTGCGGCCTGGAAGGTTCCAGGAACATCCAGTATAGTTTTAATTCTGGGTTTTCAGCTCAGAGCCCAAACACAATAGAACCTTAGGAGGATGCTGAACACTCCACCCAGTAAATCCCAATAAACCTTGGAGGCATTCAAACTCTGAGGTCGTTCAACTCAAAAACTCCACACCTTAAAGCCAATACGCCAAGCCAACAGCCCTGAACACGCCTGAACCTTCACGAACCGAGGCTCTGAATTCGATTGATCAGGTCCGCCATGTCTGTCTCCTGCAATTCAGTACTGAAGAGCAACGTGGCTGTACGGTTTGCAGGGACGTCTGAAACATGCAACTACGAATACCAGAGAACGCCTGTCAAGGCCCACACAGTATCCCAAACCTGCTCAGCGCCAGGAATATGAACTGGGACCAGCGTCATATTTCAGGGAATGCTTGTTAAAACTGTGATTCTCCTTAATGTCTGGAAAAGCTAGATAATTGCCATGCACAACGCCTGGCCCCTTCACCTTGACCCCAAACCATCGGTAGGCTGGTAGCCTCTGTAGCACGGCGTCTGCGCTGCAGGCCTATGGCTCCAGCTCTTTATTTAAAGGGACCCTACAGGGAACCCCAAATAGGGAACCCCAAGAATATAGCAGGAATATAATGGAATATAAGGACCCTGGTAGGTATATTCCTATTAAATACCTACTATATTCTTGGGGTTCCCAGTTTGGGTTCCCAGTAGAGTCCCTTTATTATTGTAACCTTGGCTCGCCTTGCTCGCCAGTACTGCTAGAAAAAGAGCTGATTAATAGTAATAGCAACCGTATCAGTAGTAGTAATGATAAGAGTAATACTACTGAATATGCATCGTCTGAAGATCCAGAAAGTCACTGCCTAGCAAAGGGAGGCTGAGGATTTTTGTCAATTGGTGTAAACCCATCAAGTCGGACCCCGTAAACCTAAACCTCCGCCCCGAAACCCTAAATCACAAGTACTACCCAAGGGCTCCAATGTAGTTCCTTTTTGGGTTTGTTATGGTTTTTGGGTAAGGGATTATTATATACTACCCAAAAAAGGAACTACATAGGAGGGCATGCGTAAGCCCTAGTCCTGACCGCCGTTGGAGAGCTTCAAGACCTGCGACAACGCAGCTTCCACAAGCCTGACCTGCTACAAAAGCCGAGGCCCTAGTTTGGCACTCTTAACTTCTAGGATCCTGAACCACAGAACCCAGATGCTAAAGCCTGTAGTCCCCCCCTTAAGCAGACAGAATACGGGGTTTGGGGTTTAGGGTTTTGGGCTAAGGTTCATAGTCCCTCTTAAGTAGATAGAATCTGGCTTTGGGTATATTATAATAAGATCCCCATATACTCCATTTTCTATCAAAGCCTAACACCACAAAATCTAGACCTTGGGTCCTGCCCTCATTTGGATAAGATCTATTTCATAGCTATATACGGTCGTTTAATCTTACCCCCCATTATAGGCTGTTTCTGGGTGGGGGCAGGACCCAATCTAGACCCCAATCCCAAAGTCCCGTAGAGTAGGCAGTTTCCATACATAGGGGACTCCAAAATGGAGCAATGTACTAGAATCTTCACTATGGGATTTCCCAGAACATGCGAATTTCTGGCAACCCGATCTAGCCTAATCTCTAAAGCTTGAAACCTCAATCTTGAAATCCTAAATACCCCCCATAAAACCCCTTTCAACCCGACCCTACAAGGGACCCTACATAACACCCACATATGCATATCTAACCCTAAACCCTTCACCCTTAAAACCTAAAACCGATCCCCCAGGGCTCTCGCCTTCATCCGCTGGTCGGGGAAGAGTTCCAGGCCCCGTACCACGACGGCTTGGTGTAGCAGCTGGCAGAAACAATGCTTGACTGCGACCACCTGCAGGCGTCTCAAAAGCTTCTAAGGAAACATACCTAGGGTTTTGGGTTTAGGGTTCATTAGCATGGAATATGGAAATTTCGTATATGGGAATTACATAGGATCATCTTCCCTTATTCCCTACTAACCACTCGTACGAAGAGGGGTTCAGGGCTTGGTACTGACTTGTTGTGTGAACTTGGGAAGTTTTCGGGATTGATGACGTGGATGCTTCCGTGTTTGGGGAATAGGGCCCCGCAGGTTTATTGCAAGCACTCTCCTGAAGATCCCTGGCTCCCAAACCTGCTCCCCAAACCCTAAACCCATTAACCCCAAACGTAAATCAGCACTCTTCTCGCAAAGTCGGCAATATAGCTTACTAAGATTACTAAGACTGCGCACAGACTTGGGAGCGTAGAGCTTCGGACTTACAGCTTAGATCGGTGAACGGCTTGGGGCTATGATGGTTTGAGCTTAGACGGGTTTAGGGACTACCTACTGGTGTTTAAGCGGGAGTGGGGGGTGAACATAGGTACCAGTAAAGGGGCATTCCGTTCCCCCACACTTTGCCCGGGCTTAGGGATAGCAAATCTCACGTTCATCCCTCGCGGTCTTGCGGCATGCAGTTTGTCATGTGGTAGTCTCCCAAAAAAGGGGGACTCCAACACAGACCCCAAAATACGATAGTCCTTATTATGGGGACCCCCAAAAAGGTACCCCCTAACTTTGGGAGACCACATATAGATGAACAGCCTGACATGTTTGTCAGGCCGCGCATCAAGACAAAGACTGTTCCAATGTGGCCTGGTTCTGCGTCCAACTCCGACTGCTAACATGTACAGCAAGGACAGGTACTGTAGGCGCCCAAATAACTATCAATATCATTCTGAGGTCCATTCCAGCATTGTATAATTATACAAGAAGTTTAGGACCACGTATTGGCGGGAATCTAAGCTAGCACATTAGGAGCAATTTCGGATTGTCTGAGCGTGCTCTAGATGGCTGTGAATGTAAGACTGGCGTCATTGTTTCCAGTTCCCTAAACCCTAAACACCCTAAACCCTAAACCCTAAACCGTGGATTCTATGGCATTCACAAGTACTGATGGTGTCTTGTTTGGGCTCTGCAAAGCCAAGCCGCCCAAGGGGCCGAGAACCCTGCCTGCGCCTATTGCTATCCTGTCCCAAAGCCCCCCTCGCCCTTCCCCCTGCGCTCTGTCCTGCTTTTTGCCCTTCAGGCTCCGCACACCCAACTAAGGTCTGGCAATCAACCCCCTCTGGAACCCTGCGAAGGAGCCCACGACGCTTACGGAAGTGAGTGTGGGAGGCCGCGGCCAGACGCTGCAGGTCGGCTCCTTGCTTCCTTCCTTCCTGAAACCTGAACGTTGAAGCGCACACCCATAATACAGGGGCCAAAACGATTATCGATTTCATGTCGAAGTCGATTTCAAGTACCCTCCCAATACCTGAATCATGCCAGGAACCGAGAACCAGTCATTATTCATGTCCCCATACTGCCGGTACTAAACGTCCTGCACGACCTTAATATACTCTAGTACCAGAATTAAGCTATCAGGTACGTAGGGCCACACAGGGCTTTTAGTATCCACCCGGGTAATCCTTCCCGTGATGGCTGATAAGCTGCCAGGGCATCTGGTAGTTTCCCGGAATTAAGGTACCCCAATATAGACCGCAATATACTCTAGTCACTTTGATAGGGACCCCAATTTAGGTGCCTTCTTCACTTTCGCCGGGCGCGGAGCAACCCCCAGAGCGCTCATAGTTCCGAAAACCGTGTTGGCCGGAAGGGTGCGAGTCTGCTCCTTGCGAGGCCCTAGGGATCCAAATAGCCCAATTTAGGTAATATCCACAGACTTTAGGGCCCGACGTAGGTAATGCTTGTATACTTGGATGCCTATGAGGAGTTGAAGATTAGCAATGTTCATATGGCTCCAGGACCTCACACCTGAAGCTCTATCAGTGGTTTTCAGAGGTGATGTCAAATCCCCTAGCAGCCACAAGAGCGCCGGTCCTTCCTTCTGAAGTATGAACGGTTCTGTTGCGGAGATTGTTTGTGAGTGTTTCTTTTGACTTGGCAGTCTTCTTACTAGACAGGGTTTCCCTGTAAGGTGCAGCATGCACTAGGGTCAAGGAAACCACGCTTCGGCATAACTTAATCTGACCTGGCTTTGGCTTAGCTTTGAGGTTCAGATAATTCTCAGATCATGCCATCTTGTAGCGCATGTGGCCCAAAAGAAAATACGGCATAATTTTCAACATCTTGCTATTATACCCGAAGCCATAACACCAAACTTATTGAACTCGAGTCTTGAACCTAGACAGCAGCCGCCATCCACCCTCCTCCCCTTATTCAATAGTGCTGCTGCTGCTAATGTCTCTGCTACTTCTACTACAGCTACTACAATTCCTGCTTCTCCTGCTGCTCGTGCTACCACTACTTTTTTGTGCTTCGACCATAGGCAGCCCCAGGTACCGTCTCGCCAACGGATGCAGCGTAGCCGCTGGCGACCATATGCATGACTCGTTGACCCATGGCTATCTCGAAGTCGCAGATGGTCTTTCCTCAGGATGAGGGCTCATGGCATAAGACCTCCGAAAGACCTGACATGATTGACCCAACGACCGTTTTCTTGTGGGGATTGTTCATTCCTGGGGTAGAAGGCGCCGTAGGCATGAATTGAAGTCAG